TGACTTTTCGATTAAAAAAAGTTAGACAAGATCTTTAGCTAAACATGAAAATTAATTATTGTGATAAGGACTAGAGACTCATTCAAATGAGGCAAATTTTTCTAATGGTTGGTAAACAACGTAGAAAATTCTGGTTGCATGGGCCTTTTAGGCATTAATTAATTAATTACTTTCTAGCTAGTCAAATGTTTGTCTAATTATTATGTAGTTGAATTTTAGTTTGGTGTATGGATAAATGTATAATTTTTTAATTTCTTTTACACTAATAGGTAAAATTGACCAATTATTACAAAAAATAAAAATTTGATATTGTAATAGGGTGATAACCTAGTTGTATAGATTTTCTTTGTTTCTATTTTATTTAGTGTATAAAAACTTTTTATCTTTTATTTATTAGTTTCGTTATATTTTGACCCTTTCTAGTATGTACTATAGTAAACAAATAGGCAAAATCAGAGTTGAGGTGGAGTTAATAGGTATACCTTTATTCTTAATCAGGTCTCAAATTTAGATAGTGTATTACTTTTGACACAATTTTCGATATGAATCAAAATTTCATCAGATATTAATAAGAATGGGAACAGAGAGTCGCTCCCATAAACGAATGAATGGGGCTCCTGGTCCTGATCGAACCAGAGATTCCGACAACCCGGGGAATCGGCAGAAAGAGATAGGTCGGATATTCCAAAATACCTTCACCCTTCCATATATACCAAAGTAATAAGTTATGTCATTTTCCCAAAACCTTTTACTCCCCACACCTGATTCTAATTTATGTTAAAATTAGGACTTTTGAGAAGTTGTTTATCCTTTATTTGTTGGAACGTAATATGATTTTTGAACTCTAATATTTGTAATTATACGTATTCAGTGAATTCGTTGACGTAATATAAAGTTTATAATCATAGTCATTGAGTTTATTCGAACCTTTCAGTCTTTAACTATACATTGCATATTAGGAAAATAATAATTTTGATCCTCAAGTTATTGTCTTATTGCGATTTGGTTCTTATGTTATACAATTTAACATTTTTGACCTTCAGTTAGTTAATATGTTTTATTTTATTCTCGAGTATTTTTTTACTTTTACTGACATCAAATTATTGAATTTCCGTGAACCTCTACGCATGCAATGTTGGATCCGTCGCATCCCAAGATATATAAATTGTGAAAATTGTTAAATTTTTGGCTTAATATAACTTTAATTTCTTTGAAAGGTGTATGGATATTGAGATTAATAATTACTAAGTAGACAAGACACAAAAATGATGAAAGTTTGAAAGATCACTCAAAAAAAGTTTAGATGAAGCATATTTCATTTAGGTGTTTAAATAATTAGATTTAGTTATTGAAAAATCTAGAAGATTTAATCACCAAACTTCATTATAGCTTCCTTTGACTAGCTAGGATGTAAAGTTTGAAAATACTATCTTTTAGAGGAAACATAGATTATTGAGGGGCCATTTTGGTTGGAGATTGATAAATAATTAAGTTATCCCATGATTTTAATGATGGGGTGTAGATATATAAAAATCATTGAATTTAGTCCATGTAAATTTTGGAGTAGAATCTAAATTAGTTGGGTCAAATAATTGATTAAATTTGACTTGATTTTAGGTTATGTATTTGGTGACATGACTTCTTGTCTAATTCACGATCAGTAAAATGATGTTACGTATTAAGTGATATAATAATTTCTAATTAAAGCAAAAACCAATTAAAAGTTACGACTTGTCATAAAATTAGCTCATAAGGAAATGATTGTAAAGTCCATATAAGCAAATCACTCGTCCATTCTTCCATTAATGTGGGACTCTAACGTAGTAAGAAAAAGTAAAACTTGATATACTCATTTAGAGACCACTAGTACATCATATTAATTAAGCAATAAGTAATTATTATTATCGAATAGGTAACACAAGAAATAAGTAAACACTAACACAACAACTATAACATGTGCGATGTGATCTCATATTGAGAAGGATAGTACGTACGAAGAATTTATCCTACCGTGTAAAATTGTGAAAGCAGAAAGACTATTTCTGAAAGACGTTCTGAGTTGTTTATAGCAATAAATGAACGATCACATTTGATGTTATATTATTTGTAGTTGAATATCATTTTCTTGATCAAGATCATGAGCCCAAGAAGTGAATCCTTCCAATGCCATCTCAACTTCTTTCATGGTAGGTCTTTCTTCACCTTTTATATTAAGACATCTAACGACAAGCTCACCAATAAACATTAAGTTGATCTAAATATAACATTTCAGAAGTTTTTGACCAAACAAAATATATACACTAAAATAAAATAGTTTTCAACATTAATAAATATACATATTAACAAAAAAAATTAAAAATTTTATCGACATTAGTTAATTACTGAAAACTATAGCTATAAAACCTTTTATTTTTATTAAGTTTGCTATTTTTCAAATTTTCTCAATTTAAAATTTGAGGACAAAATAAATTAAAACTAAAAGGGGAACTTTCACATATAACCACTAAAAAAAGTCTAATTACTCTCCATAGCTTTAGTTTGATAATTACAATTTGTAGCTATATGTTATAGGGAAGAGAGAAGCGAGCGAGACTGAGAGGATAGAGGAGAGAGGCGAGAGAGAGAGAGAGGGGGGGGGCAAAAAGTGAGAGAGAGGTGAATCGTATATGTATATTGGTTAGATAATTGTATATTATACATATGTATTTGTATATATGGCAAGCGAGATTGAGAGAGAGAGGAGAGAGATGAGAGAGATTGATAGATGCGATCGAGAGAGGGCAGAGAGTGGGATTGGTTAGATAATTGTATATTTTACATATGCATTTGTAAAAAAAAAAAGCAAGTGAGGTAGGGAGAGAGAGAGGAGAGAGACGATTGAGATTGGGAGAGGGAGGAGAGAGGCGAGAAAAAGAGGGCAGAGAGTGGGAGAAAGATGAATTGTATATGTATAAGTATTAGATAATTGTATATTATACATATGTATTTGTATATTTTGGCGAATTATACATATACAAAGGTGACTAATTATACAAACTCGAAGTCGGCCCACATAATTAATGTATAATATTTAGTCTTGAGTTATAATTATATCAAACAATAGCTATGATGAGTAATTAAGTAGTATAAATTTACTTAACCGTATAATTTTCCCAAATTAAAAAAAACGGGCCCAGCCCACGAAAAAGCCCATTAGGGCTATTATACCATGCAAATTAATTATAAAGGCTTGCAATTGCAAAGCGTTATGAACTTTGTTTCGATAAACACAAAAATTGGTTAGTTTATTCGGATTTTATAATTGAATTTAAATACCTTATAAATTTTTGTATTTTTATTTTAAATTTTATTATTAGATTTGGGGATCAGAAAAGTGGAATTAGCTACTATTAAATTCTGTGTTAGGATTTGTTAAAATCAAATTCTCAATTATAATTCTAGTTTAATTTCCATATGTGATCTCGTATGCTTTATTTGGGTCGAGTGTTTATGTGATAGGTAGTGCTGAGGTTGCATTTGCGTATTATCACACTTTTCTCATGTTTCATTGAGTATATTATTATTGTTGAATTTAATGTGATCTTTTATCAGAATCATATTTTTGAGTATGTTATTGTTGTTGAATTTAATGTGATCTCTTATCGGAATCGTACTTCAGAATATGTTATTATTATTGAATTTAATGTGATCTTTTATTGAAATGGTACTTCTTTATTGGTCGAATGCTTTATGCGAAAATTAGATGAACTATGTCAAATGCAAATGATGCATGCTATTTTAACTTCATTTAGCTAATATATTATTAGTGCAAAACATACATACATTATAATAAAACAATGCTAACATTATTTTTAGGTATAAATAGTAGATGTTGAACCTGATTAGCGAGCCTCTTATAGTTTTGTAATAACTCTAACTCATTTGATGCTCACCCTTCTTTGCATGTGTACTTTTTTATATTCAAATGTCTTCGGCCACCCTCCAAACAACTTGAGTGAAAAGCTTCATCAAGCACACTCAAATATTGCTAACAAGTTATGTTGCTCAGACTCTTTAAAGATGTCGTTAGGGTCCGGTGCATGTCAGATTCTTCAAAAGTAGTGCATATTTGGAGAATTTTGGAGAATCTGACAGAAAGTGTGGCAACAATGCTAACACTTTTGGAAAGTCCAAACAACATAGGCTAAAAGGACTAATAAGTATCAAGTGCTCTCTGTTTTCTCTGTTTTTGCTTATTGTTTTGAGTTTTATGTAGGGAAGATGCCTTGTGAAATATGTGGTTTGTCAGCAAGGAATAAATTATGTGAAGGATGTGTAAATGGAGCTAAAGCTATACATGCTTTGTTAACCAGTACCAAGTCTGATAATAACAGTGCAAGTACAAGAGAACCTGCCAACAATTCTACAAATCATTCAGCTAATACTTCTTCATCCAACTTATTTGTTAGTAAGGCATGTATATATGTATATCATCTCTTTCTTTTGATCAATTAATTTGATCTTTTCTTCTAGTATTATGAAACAAATTTAGATTTTGAGAAGCGCGTTAGTGTATGGACTAGTGGTTAATGAAGGTGTTGAGAATCATGAGGTCTTAGGTTCAATTTCCTGGCTAGATAACTAAGGTGATTTTCTGAGTGTAAAACTTAGTGGTCAATGAAAGGTTTAGAACCATGAGGTCCTAGGTCTAATTTCCAGTGGAGGCTGGAGAACTAGGGTGATTTCCCGTGTATATAGCCTAGTGGTCAATGAAAGGGTTGAGAACCATGAGGTCTTAGGTTCAATTTCCAGTGGAGGCTAGAGAACTAGAGAGATATCTTGAGTTATAACTTAGTGGTCAATGAAAAGGTCGAGAACCATAGGTCTAAGGTTCAATTTCCAACAGAGGCCAGAGAACTAGGGTGATTTCCCTTGTGTATAACCTATTGGTTAATGAAAAAGTTGAGAATCATGAGGTCTTAGGTTCAATTTCCAGTGGAGGCTAGAAATCTAGGGTGATTTCTCGAGTGTATAACCTAGTGGTCAATGAAAAGGTTGAAAACTATGAGATCTTACGTTCTATTTCCAGCGGATGTCAAAGAACTAGGGTTATTTCTCAGAGTGTATAGTCTAGTGGTCAATGAAAAGGCTGAGAACCATGAGGTCTTAGGTTTAATTTCCAGATGAAGACAAAAAACGAGGTGTTTTCTTCCCTTTTGTCCACAGCCTTATTGGATAAAGTTATTCGGTATCTGTGCTAGTAGAAAGTTGACAGGTGCCCCATGGAATTAGTCAACATACGTGTAAGTTTTTTCTTTCCATCTATCCAACGCTGCCTTATCCAAGTCTTAGTGAACAGAGTTACTTGGAACTTGAGCGGCAACAGGTTTCCCATGAAAATCTCGAAACTATACTCAATGTCATTCACTATACTAGTGCCAACTAGTCGATAGAAATTTCTAGAGACGAATCCACAGAAAAAAAAAAGTCATTTTCTGGAAAACATATTACATCATACAAAGATGTAAAGAAACTTGATGTTGCTTATAATTGATTGTTCCACAGGGATTTACACTTGCCTTGCGACGAGCGAGTGAAATGAAGGAGAAGGTTAACTATCTCACTAGTTGTCTCACTGCATTTAAAGGTCAAGTTCATAAAGATATTCTAGTTAAACCTGGAAATGATGGCCCTTCAATAGCAGCACACAAGTCTCTTCTGGTATGTAGCCATCTTTAATTTTCTCTATATTTTCGATTTTGTTATAATGTTTGTATCACACATATACTACCAAAAGCAATATCAGTAATTAGCGACAGACAACTTCTATAGCTAAAGGTGGCGGTATGTGTTTGGTATGAGAGTGTTCTACCTCTGAGGTAGAGGTTAGGTCTGCGTACACTTTATCCTATCTAGACGCCACTTTGTGGAACTATCAGCATAAAATGTCACTTATGGAACTTATTTTCCTTATTTCAGAGAAGTTTCCTGATTTTTAAGTAACTTGTACGTCGCTTATTCTATTTGATGTTAATGACCATATGCTATTGTGATCCAACAGTCAGCAAATTCTGTTATTTTCAAGTTCATGTTGGATTCGGATACGTGCAAAGCTCCCCCGGGTCACACGATAACACTGGCAGAGCTGAGCTACCTGGAGCTGTACGCGCTCCTTGAGTTTCTTTATCGCGGAGAATTGCCTAAAGAGAAACTGGAAAAACATGTCTACACATTGTCAATTGCAGCAGACAAGTATGAAATCAAACTCTTGCAGAAATACTGTGAGCACCACATGTTGGGATCGTTGAACACATCGAATGCTCTCAAGTTTTTGGAGATTTCGGAGACATATAAATCTTACTCACATTTGAAGGCGGAAGCCATGATCTTCATCATTAAGAACGTCGAGGGCATTGTCTTCACGCCTAAATTTGATGCATTTGCAGTCGAGAATCCTCATTTAGCCGTTCAGATTACAAGAGCTTCTGTCGTCACTAATAAAAATAAGAAACATAAAGTTTGACCTATGCATATGATATGTGTGTTGAGAACAATGAGATCTCTCTTGTTCAAATCCCTCCGAAGACAAAAAAACACTGAGTGATTTTTTCTCATCTGTCTAAACCTTGGTGGATAGAGTTATCCGATACTTGAAATTGTTGAGGTGTGTGCAAGTTGCCCCGAACGTGGTGAGCTTTAGGAGCCAATGTACAACACGCGATGTCTTGATAGGAGAGAACTAAGAAACAGAACATAGATTTCAATATATACTGATGTGAAGTTTTTATATTGCTATCGATGAGCATGTGTTTCGTTGAATCCTGTATTCATTGATATATGTTGGATATCAACAACACAATAACAACTATGCCTCAATCTCAAGGATATGAATGAATCATCTACGAAAAAAGAATTGAAGAAAGGAAAAATCGAATTGACACGTATAAACTATAGCCTATTTCCACTCATATTGTAGATATTAGTAGCAATTGTTACAAAGCTAGTCACAACTGCTTGAACAATCATGATCACTGCAATGATCTTATCTTTTCTTGAAGATATACCGTGGACATCTCTGCGAAACAGGAAAAATCAATATTTTAACATAGAAAAGAACGAAAATAAGTTTAAAAACGTGAGATAGGAGTAAATACGAGTGAGAGAAAGACAGATACCTCAAGGCGATTGCACCTGGAAATATGAAGGCAATGCAAACACCTGTTGTTGTTCCTGTGAACTGGAAAATGTACCATATTGACGGGATAAAAATGGCTGCTAAATATGAGAAGGCTAAGAGGACTAAACTAAGACACACGAATCGTTTGGTGTCAGTTGCCAAAAAGGGCATCTTTGGGAATACGAGTTCGTCTAGGTTGGCTCTCAGGGAGAAGTTCAAGAGGGGAAACACCAGCATTAGGTGAAATGCATAGCTCAGACGAACTATATCGTTTAGCATTGAACTTATCGCTGAAGTACCAGATGATTTGTCAAAATTTACAAGTATGTCTGGCATGATTGAATCCCCGAATAGAAGGTACCCGAAAATCCCAATTGAAAAATAGATAGCTGCACATAGTACTAATGAAATCTTGACAGCAGAAGACATAGCTGCAGGCTTTCCCAGCTCAGTTGCAATCGGATGAACTGCAAACAAGTTATAACGTCACGTTCATCAAAGAACTTAGGCATAAAACATAAACAAACACTCAAACTTGACCTCAACTGACTAGTAACGTAAGCAATACAGCTTTGACAGTACACGTCTAGACACTTCAACTTAGTCTCAACTGACAACTGAACACTCCAACTCATCCCAACTGTGCCACGTGCTCCGTGGACAATGTCACATTAATTAGTTATAAGTATCTAGATGATCATTTTGTAAGTCAGAGTGTTCAACTGACACGGCGAAGACGATTTGAGGCGTCCAGATTTACATAAGCCAAGTTTGTGAGTCTGCTTACGTATTATACCTTGAAATACTAAACAAGAATCGAAAAGATCAATATCGGATTATTACCATTGAAGTGAAATGTAAATGCTGTAACAATGACAGGAACAGCAGTAAAAAGGTTGAAAAAAGATGTTTCATCATCCATCTTAGGTAACATTCTTGGAGTTACTGTTTGCCCTTTAAGTATTGCTGTGATTGCCATAACTGAACATATGACAACAAATACAATTGCCAGTAGAACAGCTAATGCTGAACTCAACCACAATGATTCTACAATCAATCACAAGCCACATAAACAAAATGTCAGCAATAATAGCTTTCACCAATTTTGTATAATTTTTTGTCAAGTAAAAGGTAGTTTTTTTACTTACCAATACGTCGATAGAGGACGAGAGGGAGCATAACAAACAAGACAATGAAGAGGATCGCGAAATTACGCGAGTTCCACCAGTGAATCCCAAACCATTCTTGTAGAACACCAAGATGTTCTCCTTGTCCAGAAAGAACATCTCCTACTCATTTTAAAAAAAAAAACATATTTTCAAATATCGAAAACAAAAACTACTTTTTTTTTTCTTCCAAATTATATAATGAAAACATGGTCAAACGCCAACTAATAATTGTTTACATTGTTAGTTTAATATGATTTTAGTAAAAAAAACAAAAAGAGTCATGTTAGCTACGAGCTACTTAACAAAAAAAATTAACCATAAAGTTCATAACTAACTATCACAGTACACTTACCAATAATAATAAGGTACATGATCAAGCAACCAAGATTTGTTATCATGACACAGATTTGAACTGCAACAGAACCAATTTCCCCAAATGACTCATTCATCAATGCAGCATAAGTTTTCGATTCGCCTCTATATGTGAACCTCAACATGAAATCTACTGATATGTCAACCAAAAGAGCAACCAAAATGATCAAAACAAAAGCTGGGATTACACCTAAAACCTTCAAAGTTGCTGGAACAGACATAATTCCAGCACCGATGATACTCGTCGATACGTTGAACACTGCCCTCAAAATCAGCTGTTGATTTTCCCTTGTAAACAGAGTTTGTTCTGTTTGTGGCAACAGGGGAATTTCAGCTCCATTTTTGGCTAGAGCCATGTTTGTTTTTTTTTGTTGCTCTTTTAATTTTATGTTTTTACATATTATGGTTTTTAAAAGCATGTATAAGAGTAACAATAATTGGCTAATTTGGTGAATTTACTAAAAGGATGTGATAGGACATATGTGGCAACAAGGATTTGTATCATTTTTAGTCCTTAGATTATTGATGAATTTTGATTTTAAGTCCTTATGATATCTGATTAAGCATATTTGATTTTTTAATTAGTTGAGACGTGCATTTTTGATTCATCTACGTAGTTATTCGTCTGTTATGTTAAGCATGTATTGTTCGATTTGTTGAGGCTTGCTTGATGCTAGGGTGAGCTAACTCCAAAAGAACTTGTCTATAGTTCAATTTCAGGCGAGTTAACTTGTACTGTAACTTATATTATTACTTAAAAGGATGTGATAAGACATTTGTGGCAACAAGGATTTGTATCATTTTTAGTCCTTAGGTTATTGATAAATTTTGATTTTAAGTCCTTATGATATCTGACTAAGCATATTTGATTTTTTAATTAGTTGAAACGTGTAATTTTTTATCCATCTACGTAGTTATTCATCTGTTATGTTAAGCATGTATTGTTCGATTTGTTGAGGCTAGCTTGATGCTAGGGTGAGCTAACTCCAAAAGAACTTGTCCATAGTTCAATTTCAGGCGAGTTAACTTGTACTGTAACTTATATTATTACTTAAAAGGATTGATATTTCAGTTAATTGAAAGTTAAATATTATAAGGATTAAAATTAGAATTTATTAATAATTAAGGGACAATAAAAGTTATAATTCATGGGAACAAATTAAATAAAATGATTAGTTATAATGAGGGTTAAAGTTGGAAATATAAGACATATTTTTAGTTTGAATAATTGAAGGGGGCACATGGACCCGGCAATAGGGACCGATTAAATGAACGTGGACGCAAATACGGCATAAATGGTCTTCTTACTCATAAACGACAGCTAATGTTGACTACACGTATTATATTTTTAATTTAAAATTATAAAATTAAAAAAATCTTTTTTTAAAATATTCCTTTTTAGTAACAAAATAAACCAAAAGTAGGACCAAACTGAGTGTTAGTAACATAAATAAAAAGAATATATTTTTTGTCAAATTGTAACAGAATAAATAAATTAAAACGAATAGAGTAATAATTATTAGAAAAAAATATTGAGTACACCACTCAAGGATATAAAAGAGTTTTTGCATCATGAATAGTCACTTTAGGACGATAATCAACAAAAAAAAAAAACGTGTGAATTTTTCGAAATAATTGATTATGTAGGTTACTTTTAATATTTTTAAAATTTATAACTTATTTATAAGAAATATTTATTTTTATACATAAAAAACTAACAATCACATGATTATATTTAAAGGATCACTGAATATTCGTTTAGAAAATATTCGATTGTCTATTTTAATTAAGTTTATTTATTTTTATTTCGATCAATATCTTTTATGTGTTGGGAAAAAAGCGTGGGAGTTACATGTCTTGTATGACTCTTTAATGAAATTTAAAACAAATATAATTCGCAAAAGTGGCTGAATTGGTATAGTAAAGATATCTAATAAGAAAGATCGAGGATCGACCTTCACCTAATTCTTTTTCAGTTAGTTGAGTTTGATATAGCGAAGGGATGATGCACAAGTGTCTTCGTAGACTATGATTGAAATTTCAGAGATAAATTTTAATTAAACTATGTCTTATTATCCCCAAACTCTTTTTTTTTTTGTAATTTTGTTCATATTTTGACTTACGTGATACACTTCGTGACCCCACATATGTGAGAAGCGTGAGAGATATTTGAATGTCGCATAAACCAAAAAAATAAATAAAATTACAAAAAGAATGAATACATGGAGAGGGTAATGAAAGCCTTAGTTTAATTAAAGATATGTTTCTAATATTTTGGTTATAATCTAGGATATATTTATGCCTTATTCTTATAATGAATGTTGAATCTTGCATACGCTAAAAATAACTTTATTATATTCTCTAATAAAAGAATCATAACTTTTTAAGAAAACTCGAATAGGTAAACAAATTTGAACCTTTGAATATTAAACTCAAATTGCTACAAATTACAATTTACAATTTACAATTTCAAAGTTTTATCATATGTTATTTAGGATGTTCTTTTCTAACATTTTCAATTTTGAATTTTAGCTTTCTTTGACTATTTATGATTTCAATTTCAAAGTTACAAATAAAAAACAAATCAAAATATATACACTTTTTGGCAGCTGATATAACTTTATGATAAATTCATTTTATCTATCTTGTTGTATTAGTCACAAATTATACATAGATCGTTATAATTTTAAATTATAATAAAGAAGAGGAAAAATACATTTAAGAACTACGGCAAGTAAGTCATAATAAATCAATATTAATTTATATTATACTCAGGTAGCAAGTCAATTTATTTCTATTTAATACTTCAAAATTTATTTAAATTTTGGATCTTAAATTTTTTCTTACTTAGAACTATATTAAATAAAAGTACTAACATTTAATATTCTAAAACCCAATACTTTTTACCTTATAAAATTTTACTTTAATTATAACAAAATAAATAAATATATTAAGAAATAAAAAATAGGTACATTTAGTAAAGTTACTTTTTAATCTTCGGATATGAAATTCTTATCATTTGGATAAATATAACATTTATTTTAATGTCAATTGTTATTTTAAAATAATTTCTATGGAAAAGAATCTGGAATAATAATTTAATTTGACTGAAATTATTGTTGCGATATAAATTTTATGGAGAATTTTTTACCCATGTACTATTTAAATTATGTTCGATTGGATTCGATTTTTCGAAATCTTTGCCCACCTCTAAATAGGAGGGTGTAATGAAATTAATAATTTTTAATATTACTTTCAAGCGTATTGCGCCAAAATATGGATCATATGTAGTTTGTTTTATATATTGATATTTGAGAAGTATTTAAATTTGAATCATTCAAATTAGACAACATAATAAATAAATATTTAATCTTTATTTTACTTTAGGGCAACTGTTAAAAATAAGGACAAGTATGAAAACAAAAGAATAATATCGAGGGTATTTTTCCCAAAAAGTTAACATCATGGGTAATTGGGAGCCAAACGATATACATAAGATAATTTTTGTAACGACCTGTTTAGTCGTTTTGAGCAGCAGATTTTATTTCTAGAAAAACAAGCTGAGACGACGGAACCCACGACGGACCGTCGAGGGGTCTCGTTTCAAAACACTTAGAAATTCTGAAATTGGGTACTGAAAATCGACTCTCTGAACTTCGTAACGGAATGGCAGGATGGACCGTCACGGGCGTGACGGACCGTCACAGACTCTTTGGTGGAAATTGAGTCTCTGAACCTTGCGACGACCTGCAGGACGGACCATCGCAGGCACGACGGGCCGTCACAGGTTGCGTAATCCCAGTCTGGGTCAGATTTCTTTACACGTTTTAAGGGACGTTTTGGACTATTCCTACTTTAATTATAAAGTTAGTGGGTTTATGTTAATAAGTCTAATTACTTGGGGGTTAAAAGAGGTAACCTTGAGTAAATTAGTGGGTTATTATTGTCATCTTTTATTCTTAATTATATGCTAATTAGGGTAAAAGAAAGAGGGTTTGAATAAGAAAAAGAAAAGAACAGAAAGAGAGAGAAGGAGAATCGATAGAGAGAGACGAACGAAGAGGAAAAACACAAGGCTTTGGGAAATTCTTGCTTGATCACTAGTCTTCGGTTGGAGGTAGGTTATGGTTTCTCTTACGATATTCGTAGTAAACTCTTAATAGCGAATGATATGTATTGATAATATTGTAAACCCTGCTATGTGCTTAATTGTATGCTTGCATGAATGTAATTATATAATTGTGATTATATAAGCATGATGAAGTTATTGAATCCCAAATCTTGAAAAAACCCTAATCTCTTTGTTAATGATGATGCCTTAGTGTAAAAGAAGGCTTGATGAACGAAAGTAGTGAGATTAGGGGATCGGGTGCCACGTTCCGGTACCAGGATAGTATATGAGGATCGGAGTGTCACGTTCCGACACCAGAATAGAATATGGATCGGGTGCCACGTTCCGATACCAGGATATTATATGAGGATCGGAGTGTCACGTTCCGACACCAGGATAGAATATGGATCGGGTGCCACGTTCCGGTACCAGGATAGAATGAGGATCGGAGTGTCACGTTCCGACACCAGGATAGAATATGGATCAGGTGCCACGTTCCGGTACCAGGATAGAATGAGGATCGGAGTGTCACGTTCCGACACCAGGATAGTATATTGAGGAGCGGAGTGTCACGTACCGACACGAGAGGAATAAAGATAATGAATCTTGAAAGATGTTAATATATTCAATCTAATGAACCTAATTCCCAAATGAGTATGATGAGGAGACGTGAGTCCTCATTGATGAGTTTGGTGTTATGACCAAGGGTTATGGTAATTGTAAATGCTACATGTTGAGTATCATAGTTGATTTTATGATATTACTTGGTATATATTGATTTCTATTTTGAGTTGGTCGATGATATCTACTCAGTACCCGTGTTTTGTACTGACCCCTACTTTTATGTTTTCTTCTTGTTTAATTGTGGAGTGTAGCAAACGTGCCGTCATCTTCGACTCAACAGTAACTCTAGCCAGTCTTCATTACTCCGGATATCAGGGTGAGCTGATCTTCCTCTTCATGTCTTGATGCCTTGAAGTTCCGGCATGAACTAGCTTTTATGTATTTTTAGCTTCTTAGAAACTCTTAGATTTAGTAATTTGAAGTAGATGTTCTTGTGATGATGACTTCCAGATTTTGGGAAATAATAGTTATTGAATTGGTTTTTATTAATGAGTTTAAGTCTTCCGCATTACTTTATGTTGATAGTACATTGAAATGTTAAGGTTTAGATTTGGTTAGTTCGCTCACACAGGAGGGTAAGTGTGGGTGCCAGTCGCGACCCGATTTGGGTCGTGACAATTTTGTACCAATTCAAATAATTGAAGAACAATTTAGGCCTTTCTCCATAACTTA